AGGGTCTTTGCACTCACTGTTCCCTCTGGCTGAAATGCTCTTCTCCCAAATATGCACATGGTTCCTTTCCTCCTCTCCTAGACATCTGCTCCCAGGACTCCTTCTTAATGAGGCCTCCCTCTGCATATGCAAAGCTCACATCATCCCAATACTTGCTATCCCCCATCCCTTGCTTTCATCTTACTACTACTGACATTGTTTTACTTATGTGTTTCCACCACCCCACATTAGAATGAGATTTCCATGATTAACAGGGATTTTTCTGTTTTGTTCCTATTGTATTCCCAATACCTATAACCTCAACTTAGTGCTCAGAATTTTTGAGCATATAAATTAGTAAATGAACTCACTATAGTTTTTAGTGACTAAAAGCAACCAAGAAAAATAAGCCTGAAAATTATGTTGAAACAGCTTTGATGCATACTTGATATTAATTTGCATTTTAAGTGCGTCCTGACAAAGACATACAGGCCTGTAACTGCCACCAAGCTCAAGACACACAACACTGAAAATGATTTTTAAGTTACAGTAACACATTAGGTAGCTGTTTACTATAATCAGGTGTGCATGGAACTTGAAGATATTTTTAATTAAAACATTAGGCTACTATTTTCAGAAGTCACATTAAGGAATATAGTGGTTCAAAAACCAAAGTACCAAGGGAATTACTAAACCCAAAGGAGCTAAGATGTAGTCCTAAATTAACTAAAGGCCAAAGAAACTGTAACCTAACGAGTTATATTAACTTACAAGAATGTCGTGTCAAGTACTAGAGAAAGAAAAACAAAAGAACTAGAATTTATTACCAAAGGCCTGGGGAGAGAAAGTTTTCAGTGTTCTTGTGCACATAGCAATTTGTTTCTGACTATAATTTGTAAGTGGTTTATCAGGATCTTTAAACTATAGGCTACAGAAACTAATTTCTATTGGCTAATTTCAGTAGAAAAGCAATTTGTCAATTTGGGTAATTACCAGAATCTTTTAGGAGGACCAAAATCTAGTTTAAAGGCTACACTGCCTGGAATAATGATCCCCAAAATCACACTGCAGGATGGTTGAGTGCAATTCCTAGGGCTGTGGTCACCTCCACTACTAGGGGGAAGGCACTAGTTTCATGGCTGAGCCCACTGACACTGGACAGAAGCTACTGGTAGGACCCCTCCCATCACTGCCCATCACAGAATAAATTCTTTGCTGCTCTTTCGTCTTAAATTTCGAATCGAAGTTTGGGATGGGTGCTTCTGTTGGTGGGGCCTAGGTCAAATGCTCACAACTCTAGCTGCAATGAAAATGATGCCGAATGTGGGTGGAAGTAAGTTTAAAGCAGACAAGGGTCAAATTATAGAGGACCTATCCTATTTGTTGTAAGAGTGGAGCACATACTACTAGAGACTGAAGGACAATTACCAAAATGTCAAACTGCTAAAATGAAAATGAGTTAGAAAAATGCATCTAGCACTAGCTTGAGATTTCACTGTTTACTGTAGGAGCAGAGTACATTTAAAAAATATGCAGCTTTAAAGCCAACTTAAAGAAAAACACCAGGATAAATAATATGGCAAGTTAGCAAAGGCAGTATATGAATAATCAGACTGAGAAGCATGGATGGATGTAAAAGAAAGCCATGGAAAGACATCATGCAAAGGAGAAATAGTCTTAGATCACTCTGTGGCAATGAAGAAGGTGAACTGACCAGGGTAAAAATGGGACAAGAGATACCCCTGAAGGTTACAGACAGGTGTGCGGAGGACAGGACTAGAGCAGTACCTCTACGGAGAAGGACTCTCGTCATTTAGGCCGCAAAATCAAGACTTTGTGTCCAACGGATGTAAGGGACAAAATAGAAGAGTTGTCTTGGAGTCTGAGTAACAGATGAGTGACGGTGTGAAACAGATAATGGGAAGCCAGCATGAGAGGCAGATTTGAAGGACAAGACAATTTTGTTCAAACATGCTGAGTTTGAGACACCTGTCAGAGTGTGAGGAGACTACTTAGAACAAAGCTGGAGGAACAAGGGGGATGTCAACATTTGAGCGTGGGGTAGCCGAGGAGTAGCCCACAAAGGAATCCAGGAAGGACCAGTCAATGGAGAGAGGAGACTCCGGAGAGAGTGGAGTCTTGGCTAAGGAAATACTTAAGGAACAAAGTGGTCGTTGTGCAAGAGAGAGGTCCCGCAAAATAAAAGCTGACAAATTAGTGAGCCTGCTCAAGGAAGCTTCAGTGGAATGGTAGGCTGGAAGTCGGGCTGAAGCGTCACCATCACACAACTAAACTCGGGAATGCTAACATTCTCTACCAACCACTGAAGGCAAATAAATACACACCCCTCAAATCACATGTTGACCTGTTCCAAATAAGCAGCTCTCACCCCTCAGACGTGTCTGTTTAAACAATTATCTCAGGCCCTCTATCAGCTCTTGCGGAAGCTGACCAGACTCTTGGATCTCAACCAAAGGGATTCCTGTTCTGCTATCGGACAGAGCGCCAAAGGAAACAGAGGGGATAAACGTCCCTAGCCTAGTTGAGGGGAACCAGAATGGCTCCCAAATGGCTTCCAGAGCCCAACGCTCAGGCTGTTCGTGGTGTCACATTAATTTACATAGTCATTTCCAGTGGCTGTCCCCTCTTTTTGGTACCACAGCTGGGTCAGATTCCCATAATTACAATAATAAAGACCCCAAACAGTTTACAGCTACCTCTCCCCACAGAGCAGTCATTCTACTCAGAAGAAAAAAGGGCAAAATAATTACCATGGCTGTCACACTAACCCGAACCAGCAGCAGCCACACTGCATCTCAGCCTTGCTACAGCGACTGCCTATTGTTTCCTCTCAGGCTCGCTCTCTATGGTAAAATGAAGTGGTTACCTAAGAAAGGAACCATTGAGTGTCCGGAGCCCAGTGAAAGGGAAAAACAAACCCAGACATTAAGTCATACATTCATTCAACAAAACAGGAAGTTTAACTGGTACCGTGGCAACACAGGCAGTCTGTGACATCAGAGCAGAAGGCAAGGAACAAACGGATTTGAGAAAGTTACCCTTCATGGATCTTCTCTCCCTTGAAATTCGACCCATGCCACTTATTTGAAAGTGCTCTAAGGACTTTGGTACTGTTTCAGAATACAGCAATTGAAACTTCTCTTGGTAATTTTCTCCAACATACTCCTGGAGATTAGCCATAAACCACAGGCTGCAAATCTGCCGAGTGCCACAATCTAATTAATATGCAATGAGATTCTATTTCAGTCTGCTGGTGATCTGTGCTACCAGTCAGCTATGAGGATATAAACTGTAAAACTAAAAATATTTTTTAAAAAAAATTACAGGGAACACTGAATAAACTGAAGCTGCTCCATCACTTTAGGCGAGGAGAGTACAAAGAAAGTGTGTGCAGGAGTAGTGTTTTAGGAAGAGTGGCTTCCCTGGGCTGGAGTGGAAAAATACCAGGAGCTGTGACAGGAAAGGAGGCCCACAAAGCCTCAGGGCGGCTGCTACAGATGTGCCCCTCCCCCTCACGCAGCGGCCTCAGCTGAGTGTTAGAAATGTCTCCGGTGTGAGAGGCTGACACTGATTCTTCTTGTCAGGAGTCCCTGATGGTAGAATTGAGCAAGGAGCAGGCAATTCTAAGGACGCCAGCTCATTTCCTGGGTTGCAGAGGTTATTGCAGTATTAAAAAATAAGGATTGCCAGAGACTGTTAATCAGTGTAAAATTATGCTTTTTAAAAAGCCAGAATGTGTACACCAGATTTAAAAGGGCAGTATCTTTGTTTATACGTGGGAATAAAAGACCCCTCACATCAGTTAACTGTGACACAATTAGACTAAATATTAATTTATCTTTCAGCTGTGGTGGTGAACTTGGAGAGTTATTAAAATGATTAAGAAAGAGACCCCATTGAAGAACTGTAGTTATTTAACACATAAGCGTTTTGACTATTTAACCGAAGACACCATATCCACTTCACAGTAGCCAGAGGTGTATAAAGGACACTTCAACTCAAGGTGACTTCATTGTTCTTCTGTGGTTTATTAGATGACCCACCCCCAGAATGGACTCAATGACCAGCAAAGGAAGTTTCAAAGCAACAGTGGGTAGGGAATTTGTAGTTCACCTTGATTCTGTATTACTATTTCCAAGATCTACAGCTCCCTACTGCCACAGCTTTGTATTTACAGGTCCAGAAAAGACATGTGAATGGTCCTAATATGAATGTAGGAAATGGTCTCGAACAGCAGCTAGAAATATTTAGGTTAGATATAAGGAAAACCCTTCCTATTGTTAAAGTATGGCAGTTTGACACCCTGTTGCAAAAGAAGAGGTTCTCTACTGCTGTATAAATGGCATTTATCTCTGGGTCAGATTTACTTTTTGTTCTGTAAGCTTATAGTACTACCCTAATTGCAAGACTATAACTTTACATCTGATTACCTAGGGTGCTTGTGAAAATGCACATGTCTGGGTCCCACCTCAGAGCCAATAAACCAGACTCTTCAATGGAGAAACCTAGTAATCTGTAATTTTAACAAGTAACCCAAATGATTTTCATAATCAGGGAATACTGAAAAACAACGATCTTAGGCTCTGCTTACAGTAATATAAAATTTATTAACCCTAGGGAAGAAATGATTTAAAGAGAGGAAACTGGCTAGACTGATCTGATAAATCATAAACACTTCATGACTGAGTTAGGAAAACTAGAACTGGAAGAGAGAGGTTGACTGTAATCAGAGCTGCAGCGAGCACTCTGAGCACCACTTTGCAGTCACTAGCAGCTTGCTTCATGCCCTTCCTCTCACTCCACGTCCTTGCCTTCCACACACTCCACTGCAACAAGACTTTACCTGAGGACTCGATAAATCTTAAGCTGCAAATGAAATCCAAGGGATTGGAGATGCTTCCCAAGTACCAGCCGACAGTGTGCAGTCCCTGGATATGACAGATATGACTCTGAACTGGTCTGTTATCAGCCCTCATTGACATCTAAATCGAGCCACTTACCCAAACTGGAGAGCCTTTTCATCAACCCAGCTTCTCTTACAGCAGCAGGACCATATTCTACTCCTTTTCTTTTCTGTCACATAAGTTACACAGTTAGATGTGAAGGAAAATGATTGAAAATAAGACCACCTTATTCACAAAAATTCAGGTATCTGTTATACTCTACTTGGTTCCCAACAGATCCCTCTGAAAACCTGGGGCAGCATCTGCCCTTCCTTTTATTATTTTCACCCAAGGGCTGGTCATTTCAAACATTTGCAGGAATGGAGAAGAAAACTATCAAGGGAATCAGGTCAACCTTCCAAGCCTCTGGTTATGGGAAGGGCAAGGATCTGGTGTTGGGTGTGTGTAGCAGGACAGGGGAGGCGGGCTTCCAGAACAATGAGCTCTCCACGAGTGCACGTTTCTTTCATTGAAGAGAGAACAAAACAGACCCTCCCATCCTTAGGCCGAGAAAGAGACCAGAGAAATTTTCCTTCTCAGTTAATGCTCTTTCCGAGAATGGATCCTGAAGCCTTACATCCTCAATCGCTCTCCTTAATCTCCTCTCCCTTGATTTTCCACCGGGAATTCAGACCGGTTTCTCCTCCAGCCCCTCCATGAAATCATCTCCTCCCTTCCCTCTCCTCTATCACCCCAAGTGAGACCCAACAGTTTCTCGCTCCTCCGTGGGAGGCTGCAGAAACCCGATAGCTCGCTGCCCCTTCCCGCATCGCAAACAGGATGCCGTCCATCCCTTCCCAACCTCCCGATCTTCGACGGAGGGAAAGTCCCACGTGCTCTCCCGGTACCCAATCGCCGGAACTCACCCCCCCATCCTCTCTCCGCTTCTCCCCATCCTCTCCTCACTTCCCCGCGCCCTCTACGCCGGCTTTCTCCGGGCTCTAGGGGCGGAGATCCTGTCCCACCGTGCCAGGTCCCAGTTCTCACCTGTCCTCGGGAGAACGGGGCTCCGATCACAGCCACGGAGTGGATGGACTTCTTCAGGACTGAATGTACTTGGGTCCGGAGGAGACGCGAGAGGTTGCTCCTTAGAGACATGACGGGCAGCGCGCTACGTGGACCAGCAACACGCCACTCGGTGCAGCTCGCCGCCTCAAGTGAGCGCCGCCCCGGGCCGCAGCGCTTACCTACCCGCGCGCGAGCCACGCCGCGCCGTGACGTCACCACTGCCTGACCCCGCCCAGCCCCGCCCGGCCCCGCCAACCGCGTCCACCACCCACCAGCACACCTTCCGCAGGCCCCGCCCACTTCTCCGGCCCGGGCACGCCTCCGCTTACGTCACTGCGCCCCGTCCCGGGCTCTCCGCAGCGGGCGAGCCTCTGTAGCTGACGCCACCAGGCTAATAGGGGTCTGGCCAGTGAGAGCGCGGTCGCGGAGAGGTGTGTCCCTTCGCTGGAAGCGAAGTTTGGGAACCTGGCGGGACACAAAAACCAACACCCGTGCGTGGAGATCGCGACTGCACACAAATGGATGCACAGTGGACGCCGCTCAGCGGAAGGACTGGCCTGGCCGGGTCTGGTTTGGTCCGACTCCGCGTGTCCCTCCAAGACTAAGCCGGCGCCCATCTGCTCTGTCCATCTCAACTCAAGGTCCAGGAAACCCAGTCGCCCCACCTTTGGGCCTTGAAGGCTAGGAGATCAAATATAGATTAGATCTCTCTGGGCCGGGCAAAACAAACACACACCTATTGTAGGTATTTTGGAGCAGAGGAAAGAGATGGCGGGGAATGCAGTTTGTAAGCAATAAACGGGTTTTAAACTTTATTTCTCCTTTTGACTGATTTCAGTTTTTAGAGGTGTTTTGCCCCGGGATTTCCTCTGCCCGAATTTACATAGAGCTTGGCTTTTAAGCCATAATTTGGCATCCAAATTTGATAGTACTCTGGGAGCCCCGGGATGCCCTTATATCTTGTAGCCAGATAATGCCCTGGACCCATGCAAAGGAAAGGCTCTGGCTGCCAGGTCTCAATTGGATCCCTAAGTAGGACACCTCTTGTACTAACTGAGCTTTAGAATGGGATACTTTGTACCCACACTGCCAGGAAATTTAGGGCCCAGACGGCATGTTCTTGGGCCTTAGCTTGGGTGAGTGAACAGATAAGATCATCTACATATTGCAGGATGGTGCCACCCTCAAGTTGTAAATCTTGTAAATCCTGAGATAAGGCCTATCTAGTTAGGTGGGGGCTGTCTTGAAAGCCCTGTGGTAACACAGTATAGGTTAACTGTTGATGGGAAATACCTGGAGTATCCCATTCAAAGGCAAAAAGACATTGTGAGTGGGGATGTGGTGGTATACAGAAAAAGGCATCCTTAAGGTCTAGGGTGCTGAACCAGGAAGTCTCTGGAGGGATGATGTAAATCCGGCGAGAGGAAATTCCAGGAATAAAATACTTCTAAAAACATAAAAGCAAAAATGAACAAGTGGGACTACATCAAGCTGAAAAGCTTCTGTACAGCAAAGGATACCAATAGACAAAGGACATCAATAGAACAAAAAGGTATCCTACAGTATGGGAAAATATATTCGTAAATGACAGATCCGATAAAGGCTTGACATCTAAAATATATAAAGAGCTCACACACCTCAACAAACAAAAAGCAAATAATCCAATTAAAAAATGGGCAGAGGAGCTGAATAGACAGTTCTCTAAAGAAGAAATTCAGATGGCCAATAGACACATGAAAAGATGCTCCACATCGCTTGTCATCAGAGAAATGCAAATTAAAACTACAATGATATATCATCTCACACCAGTAAGGATGGCTACCATCCAAAAGACAAACAACAACAAATGTTGGCGAGGTTGTGGAGAAAGGGGAACCCTCCTACACTGCTGGTGGGATTGTAAATTAGTTCAACCATTGTGGAAAGCAGTATGAAGGTTCCTCAGAATGCTCAAAATAGAAATACCATTTGACCCAGGAATTCCACTTCTAGAAATTTACCCCAAGAATGCCCCACTCCAGTTTGAAAAAGACAGATGCACCCCTATGTTTATCGCTGCACTATTTACAATAGCCAAGATATGGAAGCAACCTAAATGTCCATCAGTAGATGAATGGATAAAGAAGAAGTGGTACATATACACAATGGAATATTACTCAGCCATAAGAAAAAAACAAATCCTACCATTCGCAACAACATGGATGGAGCTAGAGGGTATTATGCTCAGTGAAATAAGCCAAGCAGAGAAAGACAAATACCAAATGATTTCGCTCATATGTGGAGTATAAGAACAAAGAAAAACGAAGGAACAAAACAACAGCAGAATCACAGAACCCAAGAATGGACTAACAGTTAACCAAAGGGAAAGGGACTGGGGAGAATGGGAGGGAAGGGAGGGATAAGGGCGGGGAAGAAGAAAGGGGGTATTATGATTAGCAGGTATAGTGCATAGGGGGCACGGGGAGGGCTGTGCAACACAGAGAAGACAAGTAGTGATTCTACAACATCTTACTATGCTGATGGACAGTGACTGTAATGGGGTTTGTAAGGGGGGAGCTTGGTGAAGGGGGTACCTAGTAAACATAATTGTTCTTCATGTAATTGTAGATGAATGATAATAACAAAAAAATACTTCTAAAAACCAAAATCAGTCAAAGTGAAGAATAAAGTTTGAAATGCATTTATTGCTCACAAACTGCAGTCCCGGGCTGTCTCTCTTTCCTGTCCCAGCAGAAGCAAAACCTTCCCTCCCCTCACCTCTTAGGTTCAGACACGCCCTCGGTTGCCCAGGTAATTTCCCATTGATTGACATGGAGATGAACTTCTCTCCACCCCTGAGGACATGCAAATGCACTAAAGCCAGGCGAGATATTCTGGAATTGTTTCAGTTTTACCCACAGATGGTTCCCAGCAAAGTATACGGGTTTGGAACCACTGGATGAAGGGGAATTACTGCTTCATTTATTATCCCTAAGTCTTACACCAGATGGTAAGAGCTGTCTCTCATATATATAGGCAGAATTAGGGTGTTGCTGGGAGAGCTAGTGGGTATTAAGAGTCTGTGTTGGATAAACTGGGATAGTAAAGGCTGAAGGCCCCTTGGGCTTGTGCCTAACGGGATATTGTTTTTGCTTTGGGAACTTAGTAGGATCCTTTAGTTCAACTATCACGGGGAGGCCTTAATTGCTCTACTGGGAATGTGTTGGTCTCAGATGTTAGGATTGAGAGCGTTCTCCCAAGTCTCTGGGCTCTGTCCTGAGCACAGCATATGTAGGGAAATCTGATGAGAGGGCCACTCTTCCAGAGTGACTTAAGTTCCCAGTTTTTGTAGAATATCCCAGTCTAACAATGGGCTGGAACACTGAGGCATTCCCAGGAAGCTGTGGGAAAAGGTATGGCCTTCCCACAGACAGCACAAAGGGAGTAAATGGCAGAAAAGTTGGCTTACTGGTAAGTCCCAAGACAGTGGAGGCTCTTCAGGTGAGAGTTCCAGAGAAGGAAGTCAGAACAGAGTAGGTGGCTCAGTAACCAAAAGCAAAGTTTCTGTCCTGTTACATCCAGTGGTACGTTGGCTCCAGTCCAGGGATGGTGATCTCCTGTGGTAGTGCCAACTGGACAGGGCTGCGTCAGGAGGCCTGGGGCTGCCTCAGACCCCTGATCCCTTTAGTTCAAGGGGCATAGGGTAGCCAAGTGCCCTGCCTTTCCACATTTTGGGCAGGCAGAGACAGGTGGCCTGTCTCTTCAGAGACATTCTTTGGCTTAATGTTCTGCTTTGTGGCACACATAGCACTTTGTTGAGCCGTCCTTGGGTGTAGCTAGGATACCAATGGGCTGCCCTTGGCCCCTTAGGCCCTCTCTTTTCCTTCCCTCCTCCTGGTGCCCTGCCTCCTTCCTTTCCTTCGCCTGAGCCCTGGCCTCCACAACCTGCACTCAGTTGTCAAAACTGAGGTTGTTGCAGTCAGCCTGTCATCTATCATGGCCTCTGAGTCATGAACTACATTTTGGAGTTTCCTCCTAATGTCTGGTGCTGACTGGGTCAGAAATCAATCTTTCAGGATGACCCTGCCCTTGTATGAATCTAGGTCCAGATTGGTATATTTAATGAGTGACTCTTTAAATCTTTCTAGAAAGGTGGCTCAGCTCTCAGCAGACTCCTGGGTCACAACAGAGACTTTCGTATAGCTGATGACCTTCTGTCTGCTAGCCTTAATACAAATCAAATAATGGTCCTGAAACCAGCATTGGTCAGACTTACTATAGTCCCATCCAGGATCCGTGGAGGGGACAGCTGTGTCTCCTATGGGATAATTAGGATCTATTAGATGTGAGCCATTTGCAAATTTCTTTGCCTCTCGAGTTACTCTCTCTAGCTTTGTGTCTGTAAGAGTCTGAGTGAGAATGACCTGAACGTCTCTCCAAGTCAGATCATAGTCAATTGTTACATGCTGGAAACTCTCTGTATAACCAACAGGATTGTCCGTGTAGCTTTCCAGGCCTCTTTTTAAGTTAAAGTTTAGTTCAGTGAGAGAGAAAAGCTTATATACAAGCTGAGGGTCAAATTCCCTAGCCACTTCCACAAGGGGGCAGACCCTCCGTGGAGGTAATGATTGTTGCCAGGGCAGCCCTCTGGATCAGAGAGACATCTCGGGGCACTAGGGGGACCTGGAATATGGGGAAATTAGGGAGTAGCAGGGTGTTTGGGGGCTGAAGACCCCAGGGGGGTTTCAGTCTGAGGGAGGGGGCCCAGGGTATGGGGCAAAAGTAGGATAGAGTAGAGGTTTCTCTGAGGGCATTGGCTTATTTGGACCCCTGCTGTCTGTACAAGGCTTAGGTTCTGGGGTGTCTTGGGGGAGGCCTGAAGGAAGTAGAGCCAGAGTTGTTTGCATTTGTGGAGTAGATCTCCACTCTCCTGGAGGAGAAAGGAGGCCTAGACATAGGGAACCTCCAACCATTTACCCTGCCATTTGCAGAATATCTCTAACTACAGGATGGTGTTATAATTCAGGCTCCCTTCTGGGGGCTAAGTTTCCCCACTGAGGAGTTTGTATTGGGGCCAGGATGTTGTGCAGAATTTCAGCCTTGATCTCCTCAGGGTTTGGGGGTCAAAGTGTTCCCAGTATCAGAGGATGCAACCCAAGGGTCTATCACAGGGAATTGAGTATTGATTCCCCATCTAGAATGATTGGGAAGGACTAGTGAGTAAAGAAAGCCCGAGGTCTTGGGGTTATTACTCAGTGGCCTAGCATATGTCTAGTGCCAAGCAGTGTTCTGGATGGACGTCTCCACCCAGTGCAGTCATGACAGTCAGTGAAATGGTACCTTTTCACTGCCATCAGTTCCCATGTATCTAGATCCAGCCTGTGTGGGGGGAGCCCTGGCACTCAATTAGGGAAAGCCTCGGTGATCAAAGGTAGAGTTCAAGGGGTGCCTCTTGGACATCCTTGTGGGTCGGGGGGAGCAGCTGTTCAAAGAATCTGGCATAGCCTTCTCCCTGCAATCTGCTGAAGGGACAACATCCTCAAGGGGCAATGCTCCTGGCTCCAGGATTCCTTAGTGACCTCACACAGTAAGTGGTAGCATTGCATTGAATGAGTGGGTGGTATCTGTGACCACTTTCCCTTATCAGAAAGGGCAGGGGTGGAGCCATTCCAATCACATGCAGAAGAAATGGAATAGGATTCTAGGGGAACAATCGTCAAGGTAACTTTGGTCTATATACCTGCTGGGTCTCCATCGGTCAAGGTTTTGGCCACAGCTACAGGTGCCAGGGTAAAGGAGGAAGGAGAGCAGGGAGGCAACTCTCAGCTAAGCCCCCAGAGTTAGAAAAAGACATAAAGAGTGGGTTCTGGCCAGACAAGCCTCCCAGATATCTTAGCCTCATCAGGGGTCCAACGGAAGAGGCCTGAATCAAGGTCTGGACCCAGAAAGACCACCAAAATAGTTGGGAAAGATCATCTCTGGTTACGCAATAAGCTAAGGCAGCCATGAGAAAATAAGCTGCTGTGACAGGGAAGAGGTTTTAGCCACAGGCTATGTTGCTTCCATAGATGCCTACATAGGCAGGAGAGGTGGATTTGCAATGGGAGGTTGGGGTTAAGTTGAACCTGCAGATATCATTGGGGTAAATGTCTCCATCCCCCTCCAAATGGAAAATAGAGCACACATGACAATAGAAAGAACTCTGAGCACGAAAGGGACAATGGGTCATAGAATCAAGGTGAGTCAGAAGGCTCTTAGCTCCCATGGTGAACCACTGGTGAAGAAGAGAGTAAAGGGAGAAATCTCAGGCCACTCTGGGAGACATTCCTGAGGAACAAATCATGACCTGCCTCCTAGGGAGGGGTCCCCACAAGGTGAGCACAAGCAGGTACTACCTCCAGCTGGGTCTGGTGGACATCTCATGTCTAAGGGGATCACAAGATGAAGGTCTCTTGGGGATCCTCCCAGAACAGGTCAGAGGGAAACCTGTCACTAGTCTTAAGATCAGTGGCTGTCCAGCGGCTGTCCTATTGACTTTTAAAAGACTATCCCCTGTCCAAGTGTTTGATAGCAACGGTAAGGGTCTTATTAGCCAACCAGCAGATACACAAAAAGTGAGGAAGAAGGGAAGAAAAGAAATGCAGTGAATAGGAGACATTCGAGAACACAGAAAAAGAAATCTCCTGCATGGACATATTAAATACTGCTTGGGGATTTACTGTGGGGTTGGAATTGGTTGTTTTTTACAGTGTGCCTCTGTTGCATGGACATTGTCTTGCAATTGGCAGGGGGCCTAATGCAATTTTCCCTGGTCTGTGACCGACTTACCCTGTCATGAAACAGAGTAGGTGGCTCAGTAACCAAAAGCAAAGTTTCTGTCCTGTTACATCCAGTGGTACGTTGGCTCCAGTCCAGGGATGGTGATCTCCTGTGGTAGTGCCAACTGGACAGGGCTGCGTCAGGAGGCCTGGGGCTGCCTCAGACCCCTGATCCCTTTAGTTCAAGGGGCATAGGGTAGCCAAGTGCCCTGCCTTTCCACATTTTGGGCAGGCAGAGACAGGTGGCCTGTCTCTTCAGAGACATTCTTTGGCTTAATGTTCTGCTTTGTGGCACACATAGCACTTTGTTGAGCCGTCCTTGGGTGTAGCTAGGATACCAATGGGCTGCCCTTGGCCCCTTAGGCCCTCTCTTTTCCTTCCCTCCTCCTGGTGCCCTGCCTCCTTCCTTTCCTTCGCCTGAGCCCTGGCCTCCACAACCTGCACTCAGTTGTCAAAACTGAGGTTGTTGCAGTCAGCCTGTCATCTATCATGGCCTCTGAGTCATGAACTACATTTTGGAGTTTCCTCCTAATGTCTGGTGCTGACTGGGTCAGAAATCAATCTTTCAGGATGACCCTGCCCTTGTATGAATCTAGGTCCAGATTGGTATATTTAATGAGTGACTCTTTAAATCTTTCTAGAAAGGTGGCTCAGCTCTCAGCAGACTCCTGGGTCACAACAGAGACTTTCGTATAGCTGATGACCTTCTGTCTGCTAGCCTTAATACAAATCAAATAATGGTCCTGAAACCAGCATTGGTCAGACTTACTATAGTCCCATCCAGGATCCGTGGAGGGGACAGCTGTGTCTCCTATGGGATAATTAGGATCTATTAGATGTGAGCCATTTGCAAATTTCTTTGCCTCTCGAGTTACTCTCTCTAGCTTTGTGTCTGTAAGAGTCTGAGTGAGAATGACCTGAACGTCTCTCCAAGTCAGATCATAGTCAATTGTTACATGCTGGAAACTCTCTGTATAACCAACAGGATTGTCCGTGTAGCTTTCCAGGCCTCTTTTTAAGTTAAAGTTTAGTTCAGTGAGAGAGAAAAGCTTATATACAAGCTGAGGGTCAAATTCCCTAGCCACTTCCACAAGGGGGCAGACCCTCCGTGGAGGTAATGATTGTTGCCAGGGCAGCCCTCTGGATCAGAGAGACATCTCGGGGCACTAGGGGGACCTGGAATATGGGGAAATTAGGGAGTAGCAGGGTGTTTGGGGGCTGAAGACCCCAGGGGGGTTTCAGTCTGAGGGAGGGGGCCCAGGGTATGGGGCAAAAGTAGGATAGAGTAGAGGTTTCTCTGAGGGCATTGGCTTATTTGGACCCCTGCTGTCTGTACAAGGCTTAGGTTCTGGGGTGTCTTGGGGGAGGCCTGAAGGAAGTAGAGCCAGAGTTGTTTGCATTTGTGGAGTAGATCTCCACTCTCCTGGAGGAGAAAGGAGGCCTAGACATAGGGAACCTCCAACCATTTACCCTGCCATTTGCAGAATATCTCTAACTACAGGATGGTGTTATAATTCAGGCTCCCTTCTGGGGGCTAAGTTTCCCCACTGAGGAGTTTGTATTGGGGCCAGGATGTTGTGCAGAATTTCAGCCTTGATCTCCTCAGGGTTTGGGGGTCAAAGTGTTCCCAGTATCAGAGGATGCAACCCAAGGGTCTATCACAGGGAATTGAGTATTGATTCCCCATCTAGAATGATTGGGAAGGACTAGTGAGTAAAGAAAGCCCGAGGTCTTGGGGTTATTACTCAGTGGCCTAGCATATGTCTAGTGCCAAGCAGTGTTCTGGATGGACGTCTCCACCCAGTGCAGTCATGACAGTCAGTGAAATGGTACCTTTTCACTGCCATCAGTTCCCATGTATCTAGATCCAGCCTGTGTGGGGGGAGCCCTGGCACTCAATTAGGGAAAGCCTCGGTGATCAAAGGTAGAGTTCAAGGGGTGCCTCTTGGACATCCTTGTGGGTCGGGGGGAGCAGCTGTTCAAAGAATCTGGCATAGCCTTCTCCCTGCAATCTGCTGAAGGGACAACATCCTCAAGGGGCAATGCTCCTGGCTCCAGGATTCCTTAGTGACCTCACACAGTAAGTGGTAGCATTGCATTGAATGAGTGGGTGGTATCTGTGACCACTTTCCCTTATCAGAAAGGGCAGGGGTGGAGCCATTCCAATCACATGCAGAAGAAATGGAATAGGATTCTAGGGGAACAATCGTCAAGGTAACTTTGGTCTATATACCTGCTGGGTCTCCATCGGTCAAGGTTTTGGCCACAGCTACAGGTGCCAGGGTAAAGGAGGAAGGAGAGCAGGGAGGCAACTCTCAGCTAAGCCCCCAGAGTTAGAAAAAGACATAAAGAGTGGGTTCTGGCCAGACAAGCCTCCCAGATATCTTAGCCTCATCAGGGGTCCAACGGAAGAGGCCTGAATCAAGGTCTGGACCCAGAAAGACCACCAAAATAGTTGGGAAAGATCATCTCTGGTTACGCAATAAGCTAAGGCAGCCATGAGAAAATAAGCTGCTGTGACAGGGAAGAGGTTTTAGCCACAGGCTATGTTGCTTCCATAGATGCCTACATAGGCAGGAGAGGTGGATTTGCAATGGGAGGTTGGGGTTAAGTTGAACCTGCAGATATCATTGGGGTAAATGTCTCCATCCCCCTCCAAATGGAAAATAGAGCACACATGACAATAGAAAGAACTCTGAGCACGAAAGGGACAATGGGTCATAGAATCAAGGTGAGTCAGAAGGCTCTTAGCTCCCATGGTGAACCACTGGTGAAGAAGAGAGTAAAGGGAGAAATCTCAGGCCACTCTGGGAGACATTCCTGAGGAACAAATCATGACCTGCCTCCTAGGGAGGGGTCCCCACAAGGTGAGCACAAGCAGGTACTACCTCCAGCTGGGTCTGGTGGACATCTCATGTCTAAGGGGATCACAAGATGAAGGTCTCTTGGGGATCCTCCCAGAACAGGTCAGAGGGAAACCTGTCACTAGTCTTAAGATCAGTGGCTGTCCAGCGGCTGTCCTATTGACTTTTAAAAGACTATCCCCTGTCCAAGTGTTTGATAGCAACGGTAAGGGTCTTATTAGCCAACCAGCAGATACACAAAAAGTGAGGAAGAAGGGAAGAAAAGAAATGCAGTGAATAGGAGACATTCGAGAACACAGAAAAAGAAATCTCCTGCATGGACATATTAAATACTGCTTGGGGATTTACTGTGGGGTTGGAATTGGTTGTTTTTTACAGTGTGCCTCTGTTGCATGGACATTGTCTTGCAATTGGCAGGGGGCCTAATGCAATTTTCCCTGGTCTGTGACCGACTTACCCTGTTATGGGAGTCTTCTTGCAGCAAGCGCCCTAACAGCACTTAAGTGCTCAATCTGTGCCCACATATTGCAGCTGTTTTCCTGCAAGAGACTGAGAAGGAGAGGAAGGATTGATTCCCAGAGGACAGGTAGTGTCTCCAGCCAGGGGTGAGGCACTTGCAGCTTACCGCGAGTAGTGACCCGAGTCATGGCACCAAATATGTTACTGGGCTGAGTTTCTTCTCCTCAGTTCTTGCCCCACTGAAACAAATAATTGAAAGGCAGAGACACAATAGTGAAGCAGAGTGAAGGTTTTATTTGAATACACTCCAAGGAGGGTGGGGGCAGAGTCAAGGAAGACGAAGGCCCCGATCCATTAGGTGGGTGGCCTTATTACATTCTGATTAGGTGGCACCTCTTTGATTGACAAGGTGGGGTTATTTGATTTACAGGTCCATCTACATAGCCATCCCTCTCAGTGAGCATGTCCTTTCCAATGATGAAGTGTGATTTGGGCTGTTCAGTTTTGTTCAATTGTGCCCACATTGGGACCTGGCTGGCACTGCTGTGGCCTGGTCCCAATAGGCAAGGAAGTTGTCTTCCTGCAAAGCCTTTGCTGTCTTCACATGGGACCCCCCAGCTGGGCAAAGTTTGGGTGTTTTTTTTCTTTGAACCTTATCTTCCCCTTCTCCTGCTGCTCTTATCTTTCTACCTAACATTCCTAACAATATGTGTGGTAAATAAAGTATGTGTGATAAATAAAGTAGCCTGGCAGAGAGTATGTATAGGGGAGAACAGCATTACCTAGTGCAGTCAGGGAGATAAGAGGGACAGGTGTTGAAGTACTGTGTAGGTGGGATAAATGGCACTTAGCTGTAGATTAGGGAGGGGAACAGAAAAGGCAGAGATTTTAAACCTGGATGAGGAATGGTGGTACTAGAAGTAATAGTTCTGAAGGGATTAATAGTCCATCAAAGTAGTATGAAAATTACTTTAGATTTAAAAGAAATCAGCAGCCAAACAAAGAAATATTTAAAAGAAGAAAAAGTTAAGCAGAGCCGCCAAAAATACAGCTGCCAGTGACCACCCTCTACCTTCCCAACTCCCCTACCGCCTGACTTCCTGCCCCACTGAGGGAATTTCCTGACTGGGAAAAGATTGACCTCAGCACCAGAAGTGTGAATTCAGCTGCCTGTTAACTTCCAAAGGCCCAACAGAACTTTCCATACTTTGAAGTATGAAACCTTAATCCTCCTGCCTTTTGTTAAATTGGTGTACAGAGCTTTATTCTGGATATTCATAGAGTTACTCATTACTGAGCAGCTTCCTTTTCTTTTGTTAATCTATTGTCAGTTAATTCGCAGGCCCAAACCATGTGAGCCTATAACTGTGAGGAAAAGACTTCCTCCCAACAGTACTCAACACTGGCAGCCTTTAAATATAACCTAGGTATCTTTTTAAAAATGCCCCTGTCCCCATCCACTGTGTTCCCCTCCCCATCCATTCTTTTTAATCATCTGGGATGGATCCAGACAACAGTTTTTAAAAGCTCCCTAGGTCATTTAATATGCATTCTGGGTAGAGAATCCAGTATTAAGGGTTATATCTTTCAGTGTCTCTCAAATTTTAATTTGCAAGCAAACCTTCTAAGAATCTTGTTAAAACTCAAATTCTGAGTCTGTACGTCTGTGGTGAGACCCAAAATATGCATTTTTAACAAGCTCCTAGGTGACGCTGATGCAGCCGGTCCACTTACTACACTTCAAATGGCAAGGCTTTCTTTAACCAGGTTCTTTCACCTTTCCTTTTAAATCTTCAGAAACATTTTCACATGAAGGTAATTTACTTCCTAGGCTTCACAGTTGTGGTTTGCTTCACATCACTTAGAGAAATCATTGCTTCCAACTGTATGAAATTGAACTGAATCTGATAGTCTAACTGAACTTATATGTCAAATCTATGGCCGTCAAAGTAGATTCACCTTTTTAACTAAACTTTAACTAAACTTTCCCACAAATTTGTTTTATTCCATCCCAAAACCTTTGAGTGTACAAGGACATAAGTTATCTTGATGTTACAAGGGGAGAGAAACCTTCCACATAAAAGCCAGGTGAGTTCCTTGACTTAAATTGAAAATAGTAAGCTTTACTGTTCTAGATTGCCACAAGATGGGGATGCAACTCCATGGGTGTGTATGTGTGTGGGGGTGGGCAGAGAATCTCTGCTTTCTGTGCTTTTCTAGTTTTTGCAGGTTTCTTTCTATTTCTGTGTCTATTTTTCCTTTCTTCTCCGGTTGCCTATTTTTTCCACTGTCATTCTTCCTTACTTGAAATAATTACTAGTGATTTTCATCAGAGGGGAAAACAATAGGGTGATGCTAAGTAAATTAGAGTAGATTAACATAATGGAATACTACGTAGATATTTTAATGGTGCTTATAAAAAGGAAAATGTTTGCCAAAACATCAAATTTTAATTACTGTTAAATTAATGAAACAAGGAGGCCCAATAGACTAAGGTGGTTCTAATACCTGACCTGCCTACATAAGCAAACCAAAACCTAAGTCTGTAAATGCCTCAAGGTTAAGAAATCTAAACTTAAGGACAACCAATCACAACCAACCAATTAGGCTTTCCCAAAACACACAACCTTAAGCTATAGCCAATCAAATAATTTTCTTGCTTTGCTTTCACCTCTTCTCCATAAAAGTATTTCCCCTAGGTCTTGTTAGTGGAGTGCTCCTAACCACTTCCAGTTTGGCACTGCCCTACTTGAACCAGTTTTTGCTCAAATAAACTTAAAATTTTTCACATGCCTAAGTTTATATTTTAACATTACAAAATGGTATATATATTATGACTACAATAATTTTAAAAAGTACAAAAACTAAGGATGGAAAAGTAATATGTAAAACTGAATGGTTTTTAGGCTTGTAATTTTTTTGTCTCATTCAAAAATTTTCTGTATTCCATCGTCTTTCAAAACTAAAAACATTAGAATAAAAAAAACCCAAATGCTTGGAAAAATGATTTATTTGTTTGGGTCGCAAGTGGGTTTCCTCTTCTATCCAAAAGTAGAGCATTCCTATGAAACCGTGAGCAAAAATGGCATAAAGTGAAGAAGCAGTTACTATTCATTTATAAGGAAAAATCTTTGAGCATTCCCAGACACAAAGATAACCTCTCTTAGGCTTTAATGATACTTTAGGATGCATTTTGGTAACACATCTTGGTAATAGATGCACAAAATAAATGGAGATAAAGCACTGATGTGCACAGACACAGGACAAAGCTTGGACAGCATGATGCAGAGATGCTGAGTGTGGTTCCTGGAAAAGTGCTGGGTGGCACGGTGTTACTCACCACCTTGGGTGCCTGCTGCCCCTATAACAGCTTGCTGCAAAACAAACACTGAACACTGTTTTTGCTTTTCACCTTTTTTCATAAAAGCAAAAATCCTCTTAGATTTCTTTCAGTTAGTGAAAACAGGTATTAATGTGGGTCTTTCATAAAAGCACAGTGGCGTAACAGGAACTTCCAAAAAACAGGATACCTGTATTTTATATAATTCCAATTTGATGTTGGGAAAACCTAAGTTATTAAAAATGGACAGGTAATAAAAAATTTTAAATAAATTTTTTATAAGAGTATTGAAAAACATCAAATACCTAGAAACAAGTCTAATGAAAGATGGGCAAGACAGCTGCAAAACAGTGCTGAGAGAAATTAGAGAAGACCTAAATAAATGGAGAGATATACTACGTTCATGAGCTGGAAGACTTCACAAAGATAAGATGAGTTTCCCCTATACTGATCGATAGAGTCAACACAATCCCAGCAGGGCTTCTGGTGAAAATACAAAGAACAGCCAACACAATATTGAAGACAAAGAAAAACACTGAAAAACAACACTATGAGATCAAAACGTACTATAAAGCTTCAGTATTGAGACAGGTTGATATTGGTACAGGAAAGACAAGATAGAACAACAGAACATAAAAGGGTCTGGAAACAGATTCACAGAAATGTAGTAACTTGATTGATTTACGAAAAAGGCACCTTTGCAATCAGTGGGGAAAGGATAGTCTTTTCAGTAAATGCTGCTGGGGAAAAATACCAAAAAGATCATTGACCCTTACCTCATATCAAACAAAAATTCAAAATGGATCATAGGCCTAAATATGAAAGATAAAACAATAAAGTTTCTAGGAAAAATAAAGGGACTAGAATATTTTAATGAACCTGAGGCAAGTAAATTTCTTGAACATGACATAAAACAGCACTAAGCATAAGAGATAGCTAGATTAGACGTTATTACAATTAAAACCACTGTTCATCGAAAGACACCAGTAAACATGAAAAGGTGAGGCATAGCATAGACTGTGCATTGTACTGCCTGGAAGATAACATCTCAATTAAAATTCTTTCAATGGATTTTTTAGTGAAAAAAAAAAAAACAACTTTTGCTTTTGAAGGATGGAATAGACATATCTTTCCCTATCCTTCCCACTAGGAACAGCTAAAATCCTTGGACATTTTATATAAAACTAACAAAAGACTGAAAGGTAGAGGGAAAGAGACAGACTGACTAGGGATCCCAGCACAACATAGCACTGCATTCCCTCGGTGTCCTTTTTGCCTCAGATATCCCAGACTGGGCTCTGGAGGGTGACAACCAGGAAATTCATTTTGAAAACCTGCTGTCTCTAACCAAAGGACAAAGTAAGGAGAAGCCTCTAAGAGAAAACAGACACTACTCTACTCGAGCCAAACACTATAGAAAAAAACTGCACCCCCTACCCTCACCCCTCCTAGCAAAGGTCAAGTGGAGAACCTAGATTTCCACCTTGCCAGGCTCTAAAGAGGAGCCCCACCCTGCCAGTGGGGTGGTATCAGAGGCTGAGAGGAATGGGACTTTCATCTCCCCTGAGGGGTAACAGCTTCTTCCAGCACTAAGCTATGGTGTCAGTGGAGAACATATAGGGAGACTGGGCTGCCACCCCTACCCCGGATGTTACAAGGAACCTCCTCACTAAGTGTCAGTGGAGGCCAAGTGGGGAACTTGGCCTTCCACCTCTACCTGGCAGTCATGTGGTAGTGCTCCTCTTCCCCTGCTGGAGCAGTGTCACTGGAAGCCTGCGATAACAGAGGATTTAAATAAGATCCAGAATCTCCTATCCAAAATGCCCATGTTCTAATAAAAAATCAGCTATCATATCAAGAACCACAAAAATCTCAACTTGAATGACAATAGCCAGTCAACAGATGCTAATACTAAGATGACATAGATGATAGAATTATCTGACAAAGATTTTAAAGCAGTCATCATAAATATGCTTCAATAAACAATTACAAACATACTTCAAACAAATGAAGAAACTGAAATTCTCAGTAAAGAATAGAAGATTCAAGAAGAACCAAATGGAAATTTTAGAATTGAAAACTATAACTAAAATTAAAAAAAAAACACACAATGTTTTTGGATTCAACAACAGAACAATAAGACACAGGAAAGAATTAGTGGTCTTGAAGACTGAAAAACAGAAATTATCCAGTTGGACCAACAGAGAGAAGACAAACTGGTGGAAAATATGAACAGAGCTTCAAAGACCAGTGGAACCATAACAGAAAAAAACCTAACAGTACTGTTATTTGAAACTCAGAAAGAGAAGAGTAACAGAGTGAGGCTGAAAAAAACATGAAGAAACAATGGCTGAAAACCTCCCAAATTCAGCAAGACATAAACATAACAAAATTCAAGAAGCTGAGCATATCCCAAACAGGATAAACCCAAAGCTATAGCATGGTCAAACTTCTGAAAACTAAAGACAAAGAAAAAATATTGAAAACAGTGATTAAGAAACGACACTTTACATTCAGGGGGAAAAATTCAAATGACAGATTTCCCATCAGAAACCATGGAGCCCAGAAAGAAGTGGCACAGTAATTTTCAATTGTTACAAGAAAACTGTCAACCCAGAATTCTATATGCAGTGAAAATATGCCCTGTGAATGAAAGGGAAATCAGGACATTCTCAGATGAAGGAAAACTAATAAAATTTGTCATCAATAGACCTACCTTAAAAGAATGGGTAAAGGAAGTTGTTTGAGCAGAAAGAAAATTAAAGGAATCTCAGAACATCAAGATGGAAGAAAGAACAATGGAAAAATAAAAACAGAAATATGAATAAACACAATAGACTTTCTCCTCTTGATTTTTCTAAACTGACAGTTGAAGCAAAAAGTGTGGCACTATCTGATGTGGTTCTCAATGAATGTAAAGGATATATTAAGACAATTATAAATGGGGAAGGGTAAAGGGAGGTAAGGTTTCTATACTTCACTTGAATTCATTAAATGTTGATACCAGTACATTGTGGAAAGTTGTGGAATAATAGAAAATATATATATTGGTCTTGGACCCCAGTTCCTGGCACAGACCTACTAAAGCCCTTGTAATTTCCTAAGTAATGAGAGCACTAGGAGCATCTTTTGTTCTAATATTTGGTCTTTGACCCCAGTTCTTGACACAGACTTCCTATATTCCCTTGGAATTTCTTGGATGATAGCAGTGTCTTATTCTAATGAGGTGACTCTGGGGCCCCTGGATGGGAGCTGGTCACCAGAAAAACCAATCCATGATTAGAAACTTGGAATTTTCAGCCTCACCGCCTGCCCCCATTCTCCAGACTGGGGGGAGAGGCTGGAAATGGAGTTAATGATCAGTCATGCCTACGTGATGAAGCCTCCATAAAAATCTCAAAAGTATGTGATTTGGAGAGCTTCCAGGGTGTTGAACACATTTACATACTGGGAGGTTGATGCACACCAACTCCATGGGGACAGATGCTCCTGCACTTGAGACTCAGACTTCACCCTACATCTTTCTTCATCTGGCTGTTCATCTGTATCTTTTATCATATCCTTTATTATATAATAAACTGATAAACACAAATAAGTGTTTTCCTGAGTTCTGTGAGCTGTTTTAGCAAATAATCAAATCCAAGCAGAGGAGGTCATAGGAACCTCTGATTTGTAGCTAAGTGGGGACTTAGTCTCATGGGACTAAGCCCTTAACCTGTGGGATCTAATGCTTTCTCTAGGTAGATATTGTCAGAATTGAGTTAAATTGTAGGACCATCATCTGGTGTCACAGAGAATTGCTCCTGGTGTGAGAAAACCCTTCACATATTTGGTGTTGGAAGTGTGAGTGTGGTAGCAGTGTCATAGTAAAGGAGAAACACAGGAGGAAGGCTTAGTTTTTTCTCAAACAGTTGTGTATGTATAACTGTGTAATACCTGGCATAGTTGTTCAAATACCTCACACAACCAACTGCAGAGATACACTCACAAACACTATATAAAGATGAAATTCTAAACAAGATGAAATGTGTTATATTTATCTTTTAAAAATGCAAAGCAAATTTTTTTATTCATCAATTTCACTAAATTACAACAAGTTTTATAAATTCTTTTCACTGGCTTTTAAAAAAATTGAGGTATAATTGACAGTATTTATGTTTTAAAAACCCTATTTTTTTGGAATTTCTTTTTATATATGTGAGCCTCTACTTTCTCTTCCCTATGGATAAGTGGTCCTAAATAGGACACCTACTCTCAGTTAATACGGTAGCAGCAATTATTCATTCTATATCATAAAAAAAGCAAATAAAATAAAAACTTGAATTATAAGACAGCATTATTAGAACAACTATTCAATTCATAAGTGTCACTAAGTAATAAAACAAGGTTTTACATAAGATTTTTAAGAATCTATCATGGGCCATAAAAATAAAAAGTTAAATTATTTAATTGTATTTTTTCTGTTTATGTTCATAGACAGTCAACTTCTAAAACTAACTTCAACAGTTAGAAATAACTACCCATCTTATCCAAAGTAAGTCAGATTATCATAAGATTGTATAACAATGATACCTTAATAAAAAAATTAAAAAAAAAGCAAATCAGATTAATCCTGCATACTGTCACCACAACACTCAATTCACTCAAATATGTTTCCTCGTTCTTGTGGCCAGAACTCTTTGGAAGGTGTAGCAAAGACTGGCTAATTGTTCTCCAAATCATTTATCTTTCCCTACTGGGCGTATTGATAGACCATGTTTCCCAGCCTCCTTTGAAGTTAGGTATAGTCATATTAACAAGTTCTGGCCAATGGAATGTGGATGGAAGGCTTGGCCATAAAATGCTCCCCAAAACGATCCTCCATTCTTGCCCCTCATTTGTTCGCCCAGGTTCAGAGGATCCAATGGAGAAGACGATGAAGGGGCCCTGAAGGGTCATGAAGTCTAGATGGAAGGAGCCAGGGTCTCTGAATCACCACTTATCAGAAATTATGAGTCATCTGACCAGGAGCACCCTGGATAGGTAGATAGTTAGATAAACATTTACTGTGTTAAATCTTCAAAAATTGTTTTTGTTTTTTTGAATAGTAGTTAGCCTGCCTGGAAAAATACAGGATACAGATGTTTCTCAGGCTTCCTTTCTCTGTTTCTCCACAACTGAATTCACTAGGGTATTCACTGAGACTCCCTCAGGGACCCTGCAAATAGATAAAAAACCTTCTTAGGGAAACTTGCCAACTTCAGAGTCTAAGAACTCCAGGACTAGAGGTTTCCCAAAAACATTAAGTGTTTATCTCTGGTGGAAATACAAGTAGTTACATTTCTTTCCACATTTTTCAACTTCTTCACAATAAGCAAATACCACTTTTATAATTATAAAAGACATCATATGACATTTACAAAAATGAGAGCATGGATTGCTTGGTAAGATTCAGGTTACAGAAATAAAATTGGAAAAACAAAGCAATACTTGAAGAAAACCATTTAGGGAAAAGTAGGGTGGGAGGAAGAGGTAAAGTCCTGTATGAAGATGGAGAAACAAAACATGATTTTCATCAGAGAGACTTAAATTTGGTAAGACCATTATATCACTTATCTTTATACACAAAGGGATGATTCTTTAATACATTCTGCTGCCACAGGGCTGAAGCACCATAACCTTTTTAACAGGTCAAAACGTCACTCTTGAGCCATGGTTAAAAAAAAGAGAAGTAAAAACAGGGAGCTCACAGTCCACTATTACTCATGAGTTTAGTAATTTTATTATCCATACCTTCTGCATCTTCCAATCTTGCTAACCTCCCAGCCAGGACTGCCTGCCTACTCAATCCTCCGTGCAGTGAGTGTTTGGAAGAGAGAACTCCTGAGCAGAGAAATCCAAACTCCTCACCAGGCCCTACAAGACCTTCCTAGATCTGACCCCTACCTACCACCCCAACTTGCAACCCCTACTTACCACCTGACTTGCATTCCCCATGCGTCAGCGGCTCTGTCCTTTTGATTCCTCAAAATAACCAACCTTGTTCCGGCCTTGGGGGCTTTGCTTTTCCTGGTTCTTCTTCCTGGCAAATTCCTCCTCCAGAGCTCCCCCAGGCGGTATGGCTCCCGATCCTTTTAGCTCCAGCGTCTTACTCTAGACAGACTTCCCTGACTGTCCTATTCAGAGACCCCCAGCCTCTCCTACCCATCATATTATTGCCAAATCATTTCTATATTGTCTCTCCTGCTAGGAAGGAAGCTACCTGAAGGCAGTCCCCGGGATCTTGTCAGTATTGTTCACCGCCGTATCCTTAGCACCTAAAATTACCTGGCATAGGAATAATGAATGAATGGGTGAATCGAATGAATGATACCTGTGAATTGTCTCTTTGGGGCGCACACTGGCTTAGAAATAGAAATCAGTCTGTCAAGCGAAAGCACGTTAATAGCGGTTTCAAAATGTCGGCTGAGCTTGCCCCCTACATGTCACAGGTTCCCGGTGGGAGCCGGAAAGTAGAAACCTAACCCACAAATCCCGCACAGCTCTCTTTGAGGAATTGCGGCTGCGCGGCGCGGCGCGGCCCAGGGGTGAGGCGGGGGCGTGGCCGGCTCCGCTTTCCGGAAGTGGTCCAGAGCCGGCGAGAGGACGCGGGCGGGCAGGCTAGAGCGGCTGGGTGCAACCGGGCCGGTGGGCCGAGCCGGCCATGGAGGATGAGCAGAGCTTCTCAGATATCTGCGGCGGTCGCCTGGCCCTGCAGCGCCGATACTACTCCCCGTCCTGCCGGGAGTTCTGCCTCAGCTGCCCTCGGCTCTCGTTGCATTCGCTCACCGCTGTCACCTGCACCGTGTGGCTAGCCGCCTACGGACTCTTCACCCTCTGCGAGGTAATGGCCGGCCCTGGTTTAGAAGGGTCTTTAGGGTCTTGGGGATGAGCCCGAACCTGTTGCCGGATCCTCCTATAGTTGTAGGCTGGAAGGGCGGGAGCTCGCTAGTTCCACTGCTGGACAGCTCTTTTCATTACGTTTCGCCAAGTTTGTGCTCCGGTATTTTATCCCTCTCATGGACCGCTGCTCTGCTCTGCTCTGTGGTTTCACCCAGCATACATCTAGTCCTTGCACGACTGCCTAAAATTTTAACTTTCATGTGCTCTGTGAAGTACATGCTCATAGAAATTCAATTCCAAGAGTTAAGAGATTAAGTGGATCGTCCTTATCCATCACTTACTACATTCCTCAGGAATCACAGCAAACAATAATCTTCCATAAACTGTCTTTGTTGGAAATGGGTGGTTTCTAAGCTCAATTTCCAAACTCATACCTATTTTAAGAGCCTCAGTTTTCACATATCCAGAATCAAATTTTCCAGAAGCCCAGCCAGCCAACCGCACATCTCATTGGCCAGAGTTGTGTTATGTGCCCATTTCTCTATCAATCACTGGCAGGAGTGGGAACCAATCATGATTGACTCCCAGTTTTATTAAGAAGAGGCTGTTGAGTAATATCTCCTACACTGTGCTAAGCATTTTATTGTGCATTCTATGATTTTGCACTATATATTCTGCTGATGGAATAGGAAAGCAAAAGGTCCGAGTCCTTAAGTTGCAATTTTGGAAGAAAAATCTCTGAGACTGGTGTGATGGTGGCTATTTTGCTGATGGACGTTCTCCACGCCAGACCTAGCCGTTTGTTGTCTGGATGTATTTCATCATATGTTCTCATAGCATTTCAGAGCCAAGTGAAAGTGATTTCCTCCTCCTCCACGCATATTCCTTCCATTTGTTCAACTCAGCAGAACGAAGGCTTTTTTCCCACATTGCCTAGAATTGACTTAACCAGCAGAAAAAGCAGAGGACCACTTAGTAATCTTATTGCCTGTGTCTGGCTCTGTCTTCAGAACAGCATGATCCTCTCTGCTGCCATCTTCATCACCCTCTTAGGCCTGCTTGGTTACCTCCATTTTGTGAAGATTGATCAGGAGACTCTGTTAATTATTGGTTCTCTTGGCATCCAGTTGACTTCATCCTATGCCTCAGGCAAAGAAAGCACTACCTTCATTGAGATGGGCAAGGTGAAGGATGTTGTTATTAATGAAGCTATCTACATGGTAAGTATTAACAGGCCTTTCTGGAGGAGGTAGGCCCTGGGGTGTGGAGCTGGTCGTAATATCTGAAGTGTTTGACTTCACAGAATTGAACTTGAGGACTCTTACTGGTCCAGTACTTGCAGTTTCTTTTGTGGCTGACATGTCTGTATACCATAAAAGTGAAACTTGCTTTGAAAAGTTACGTTGAAGATGGCTATCACATCACCTTGAGTCTTACCATTTCTTGGGTAAACAGATCTGGTTACTTTAACTAAATCTCCTGTGACATTATTGTAAATAGTTTTACTATTTTGACATCTCTTTTATATAGTCAGCATTTAGTCATTGTCCTCCTTAAAGTGTGATGCCTTGAGCTGTAGAAATGATTCCAGGTGTGGTTTTAACAGCAAAGAAGTGCAGGCTATCCCTTTATTTTTAAAGAAATGTACCAGGTTTCATGGACCGGGAGTCAACATTTCAACTTTGTTTTCCAGCTTAGCTTCAGAATCATCTCTGGTTGTTGTTGTAGCTGTTCTGTTAATTTTTCTGTTTGAAGAATGAAAATATACTTAACTTCTCCCTCACTTCAAAAGCTATCTAGTATTCTACTACTTACAGATAACCATTTATGAAAAAGTTTTGAGCCTTCCCTTAAAGAAAAAGAAAATGAAATGAGTTTCACTTAGATCTCTGCTCTTTGTTTTATTTTCTTACAGCAGAAGGTGATTTACTACCTCTGCATTTTATTGAAGGATCCAGTGGAACCACATGGGGTATCGCAAGTAGTACCTGTCTTCGAGGTGAGCACAAAACATTTTTCTTAAGTTTCTTCTCCAAAGAGATCCTATACCTTTCCTCCATCCCTGCATATCCACTGCTACTTAAGTTCAGTAGGAATGTTAACTTTCATTATCAAAGGTATTGGAGAATACTTGACAGCTATTTTTCATGAGAATTAGGGCTTTAGTTATTTCAAAAGTTTGTTTGAGGCAAATATAGGCTTTCAGAAATATGAAAATTTATACAAATTATACAAATTTTAGAGAAAAATGTATACCAACTTCTGCCTATAAATCACCATTTATCTCCTTTGACTGTGTCAGTGGTCTACCAATAAGATTTTATATTGATGTTATTGATCTACATACTGTTATAGACAATTGTCTTTTTAAAAAAATTGAACATGCATATTTTTGTGCACCGACAAAGGCCATTAAACTTGTTTAAAATAATTATATCATGTCAACTGTCAGTTTATTTAACCACTCTATTGGTAGCTTTTGAAATCACATTCAGGTTGTGTTTTGCTCTTACCAAAAAACCACTTCCACACACGATTCCAGCAGGTTACCTTATAAGCATAGAAAGTAGTTATGTATGCAGTTAACTCTGACTTATTGTCCTTCCTTTTTCACAAAGGATTTAAATTCTTTTTAAAAGAATTTAAGCTAAAATTCTTTTGCATTCCAGTTCAAAATTATTTTATTAAAGCCTATGAATAGTTTCACAGATTCTTAGTGCTTGATATTTGGCTCCAGAGATTGGATTTTACAATACTTTTTGAGAATTTTTTGCGTTTTTTTCCCACAATCTTGGCCAACAGTGCATTTAGCCATTTTTGTTTAGTATGTAGGTGAAGGAATTTAAAGTTATTAATTTGTATCTCTTTAAATGACCAAGTCTTTTATTTCCTTTTATGACCTATCAGTATTTCTTGTATTAAACTATCCATCTCCTCTATTAGTCAAGTAGAATCTAGATATTGATTATGTATTTGTAACAATTTATATATTTTGGGTAACAAATTTTTATTAAATATACTTTCCATACTATTTCCATTTTCTGTGGCTTTTAATTTTGGTTGTATGACATTTCATAATGTGAAATATTTTTCAATGTTTACATATTAACCTGCCCCTCTTATATATCTGAGGACTGTTTCACAGCTTATGACACTTCCCAAGAGGCTCTGTCCTTGTTATTGCTCTTGCTTGCTCTTAGATGGGGGTCATACAACTTAGATTAAAAACTGTCTTTTGAACTGCCTCTCTGCATAGTTCATAGGCTGGGCCTAGTTTGGGGCTTCTCCCAGCAAGGTGCTGTGAGACCTGAAGTTCTACCTCTCTGAGCTCACACCTGGATGCAGCATCACTAAGCACTCTCTTACATTCATCTTGACTGTGCATTTTTCCCTTTGAAATTCAGAGTACCAAGCCCCGGCTGGACTGCTTGATTGAAGTGTACAAGAGCTGCCAGGAGATTCTGGCACACCAGAGAGCCGCATCAGCAAGCCAACAAGTCCCAGTGTTGAGAAGGCCAGTCCTGTCTTCCATGGGAGATGACTCCTAAGCCATAGTGGCTAGTTTATTTTCTGTATTCTAAATCATCAGGGGGACAACAATCCTGGGACCCAGTATGGGCACAGTGGATCTCAGAGCCATAGAGCAGGCAACTGGAAACCTAACTCGCTGTGTGATGTTGAATAAAGTATTTATATGTATTTGAGTGTTCCCCTTGTACAGTTTACCTACTTTACCAGCTGAGGGGAGACATTAAGAAATGATATGTCTAAAGTACTGTCCACAAGGAACCCTTTGTGAAATTCCTAAGCACATGCAAGTTTACTACTTTCTGTTGAAATTTTTGGAGCAAAACAATGGGAAACTAACATCAGATCTTTTGAGAAAGATAATTTCTAACCGCATAGAAACCCTATATGAACTTTAGAGAAAAAGAAGTCAAGCCCTTCAGGTACTGGTTAGCAGGAAGAAATGTCCTACAAAGACTAGTCTCTGCCTACCTCCTGTGTTCTATACAAGGTTAATTTATGATGACTCTCCAATAAACAGATTTCCTTCCAAAAACACACACAGTAATTGCCTGGTTAACAGATACCTGCTTTTTATTGACAAACATGAGTGAGGCATTTCAGTCATGGGTGTCAAGCACATTAATACTCTTTTGTTACTCAGCATTATCTATGGTTTCAAAAACTTTTTTTGCCAAGAGGGGTAACACAGAAGGCCAGACAGAAATTTAACTTTGGTTTCCAGACATGTTAAGGAAGGATAAACATGCCAACTATAGAAACCTTTGTTTATAAGGCAGTTTCTTCTGTATAAAATTAATAAACTAAGGGAGGATTCCTGAAGGGTTGGGCAGGAGATGGGGTGGAGGAAATGGCTTCACCACCCCCCGCAAATTCAGTGTAGACACAGCTCCATTCGTGGCTACTTTTTCTTTGGGATCCTATTTGTTTTAAGCTTCCAGGGAGATAATATCCCCATTGGCCCCAGAGACACTCAAGATAACAAAACTAGAGCTGTAAGCTCTGCCTTTTACACCAGCCATGGAGGGGTTATTCAGGAGCCTGTGGTACATGTAACATGT